TCTTGTGCTAAAATACACCTTTGAGGCAGGATGACAAGGTTTAAGCACTTCAGTTCTCTTGTACTTGTGACATCCTCTATCCGTTAAAGATTTGTGCCTACTATTGAGAAATACAAGTACTTCCCTCAAGGAAGACCCCTTCAGTGCTCTGCAGCTGGTATTACGTAACAAAAGCTACTTTTGTCACGTAGACAAGACTTCTTGTTGTTGTTGTTGTCGATGCTTTTTAATATACACTTATATTAAAACCTGTATCTGCCTTAGGTTTTTGTTTTCCCTAGCATTCAAATAGCTTTTAGATGTGATCCACAATTTTTCTGCTTTTGTTTTTAAAAATGGATCTGAGAATATGTGAACATGAGGGAACATCTTCATGAGGGAATGTCCTCATTGTTGAAGATTGCGATGCAAGTTGTTTTCCATTACCATCTGTATGGCAGATTACCTTTGTCAAGTGGCAGTTTGCTTTATCTCTCTCTTTGAGTGACCACATTCACACCTACCTCAGGAGGGGACATCTGCAGATAACAGGCTATTGAATGTCACTGCATGGCTGATAAGAACTATAACATCCCATTGTGAGATGCTCTGCCCAGAGGGAGGAGCCAAGCATTACTACCCAGATATAATCCAGAAGTTTTCGACCCCAGCATGGCTTTCTCCATGGGATTCCCCAGAGAAACAGAAGCTGTCTTCTTCTTCCACTGGATCTTCAGAGGAGGAATACATCCTTCTCTACAGATCCCCCTTGCTCCAACAGAACCACACCTGATACTTAGGAGAACTGCAGCCACATTTTCAATCGGACTGCCACCAACACCCTCACTCACAGGGTGTCAGGTTGGGTTCTGACTCTGCCAGTGTTGTTCTAGTGTACTCCATTGTTTATTTTATCCTTTATTTTTTTTTCCCTATTAAAGAACTGTTATTTCCTGCTCCCATATTTTTGCCTGAGAGCCCCTTAATTTAAAATTTATAGCAATTCAGAGGGGTGGGGAGGGTTTACATTGTCCATTTCAGGGGAGGTTCCTGCCTTCCTTAGCAACTCCTGTCTTTCCAAATCAAGACACTCATGTGATGTACTGTTCCTGAGTTGTAAAAAAAGGAAAATAATCTTTCTGCACATCACCTTTTGAGAACAAGGGGGTTTGGGTTTTTTTTTTCTGATAGCCTCAAGATGAGAAATACTGTAGATGCTCAACAAAATTATTGCTTTTCAAAAGAAGCTCCACTCTGCTGGTGGCTGCAATCATTGACCCATGACGCATGACTTTGCATTTGACTTGCATGTGCTAGAAAATGCTTTGACTGACACAAGTCACAGCTAGACTACACTCTGTGACTTCCATGTAACTAATGTTGTTTCTCTCTTGTCCCTGCAGTTGCCAGTTGTAGGGTGTTTTGTTTAGTTTCAAATAGTTAATAAAATATTGGAAAAGACAGAGCCATCAATTGAGCAATAAGACTCTTGTCAGGAAAACACTTAATTTTTTCCTCTGACACCAACTTTTCAGGTCTACTGGTTGACCAGTTCCTATGTCATTACAGCATGTGGTGTATTGATAAACTGATAATCTTCAGTCAGACTGTCAGGCATTGCAAATCAAACTGCCCTGTGCAGAACTACAACTATTATCAGTAACTCTTATCAGTCAACCCAGATATCTTACCAAAAAATCCATATTTTTTATTAAACTAATTTTCCATAAAACCATTACTTGGCACCCCTTGTGCTGCCAATCCTGAAGTTTCTTCTTAACTAATCATACACCAGTACTTCCTTGTGCGGTGTCAGATTGCTCATTAATTATTTCGTTTTTCCAGTGTAACTTGATGTAATAAAAAAATTTAGGACTATGCACTGAGACAGAAACTTTATCATGAGTGATTCAGGACTGTTCTTGGTACTTTTATTGAGTAGAAAAAGGGTTGTTACTGGCAGTAATATATGCCTTTTAAGAAATGTAAATTGTCATTTACAAACACTCAAGCCCTTGCTGACAAATGGTCCTGGCTAACGTCAATAATGTATCTAATACAGTTTTAAAAATTATCATAGGAAAAGCACTGAGTTTTTCTACTCTCCTTCTATTTGCAGCCAGTGTCATCTTTGTTCTGAGACTGAAAAGACCCAAAAGTCTATATGCAAATTCAAATAGTTTTCCAAAAAACAGCATCAATTTTTGGTCATATAGAATATAACACTCTCCTAGAAAATTACTCATTTCAAAATGCATCATCAGTGAGATTTCTTGGTGTGTCTTTATTGACACAGTAGACAATAAATACGATCCCAAAAGCAGAGCAGACAAGATGAATGTAGGCTTAATTAGTTTGGATGGGTGAAAGTGAAGAGGGAGACAGTGAGCCGTTCACCGAAGAAACCCAGTACTTCCTGTAAGAGGACAGAAGCATGATCAAAGGACAGGTGCTTGTCATCTGTTTGAGACACTGCCTTCCAGACAAGCTGTGGGCAACAGGAAAGAAATCCAATGCTGAATGTTTAACATGTGATATATTTACCAAGCAGTAGAAAATGTGAGAATCGGTGTTTGGACAATTCAGCTGGGAGGGTTGCTGCTGTTGCTATCGTATGGCTACAGTATGGGGGGAAGTATTGAGAGGCTGCTTTTGTCACCAGCACAATAAACTGAGGGAAGAAAAGTTTTATAGGGAAATTTCAACAGTTAGTCTTGATCCAAAAACCCAATCAGCAGTACCATCTGAAAAGAATGGAAAATGCAAATGCACATTGGTGGGAAACAAGGGTTGTCATATACTGCATCCCTATTTTAGTAACACAGTGGAGGGGGTTTGCAAACAAACCAAGATGTCACATGAGGTTGCTTGTCACAAACAGCAGTAATGGTATTAGAGAAAATGTGTGATACATCTTCACTGAATCATTTCTTTCTATTGCTGAAGGGAATCAATGTCTCTACAGCTCAGTCTGTAGAGTCTCTGAACCACCCCTCGTAATTACCATCATTGCCAGAATCCCCAAAAATGTCAGGGACAAACCAGGCTCTGCCATTCTGTCCCTCCAAATCACACACACAAGCACATCATGTAATGATGCTAAATTTCAAAACTGAAGAGAGATCACTGCCCTGTTGTCAAGAATAAAAAACTCCTGTGGCCAAGAATGAAACTCTTCAAAGCAGAAAATAAGGACTGTTCAAGAAGAATTCCTGAACAACTCAGTCCTTCGTGCTAGTCTCATTTTAAAACAGTGAGGTCAGGCCATAAGGACAATATGTGTAGCAGGAAATGTGTGTGATTGTGAAAAGATGCCTATTTGTACAAAGGGTAATTTTTCTTCATTTTTCCATTTACTAAATAGGTAATGAAACTACTTGTTTAATTCAGCACCGTCTTCCAGTAGTGCTGTCTGTACTGCAATACTTTAATTATTTCTTCAGGGGAAATTGCTAATGATATCATAACTATTTGACTATCTGGTCTTTCCCATTTGAGAGCACAGAATGTAAGCAGACTTCTCTTTTTGTCACTGTTGTTTCTTAATCACATTCTTTTCTTCCAGTTTTAAAAGGTGATTTGTTTTTAGGGGCAAGTAAGGGAGACAAGTAGTCACTTTTAGGAAATTAGAAGGATTTTCTGTTGTCAGAAATTGATTTTAAAAGAAAAAAACCCTTATGTTTTCTAAAAGGCAGATGCTTGGTTTTGTAAATTTCTTCAGGAAAATGATAGATATTACTTTTTCCAATGCAGCCAAAAAAAATTTATTGAAATACTCAGTTTTACTACAAAGAGGGAATACTTGCTGCTTTCTGGCCTACCCAAAATTTGTCAATATGCACTGTATCAAGCATCAGGAAGTAGAAAAAATAACATGATTTTACTTGTGTTTAAAATAGCTCCTTCTTCCACCTAAGCTAATTCCATCAAAAAAAGAATTCATCTCTTCACTTCTTAAATAAGGTTCTGAAATAATGACTGTCTGACAGATTCTCACTCTTTCTCACTGTGACCAACACAGAGATAAACTGTTGTTTTCATCCAGTTCGCAAAATCACAAAATATATAGCCTGAATTTTAAGTGTGTGCTTAATTTTTTTAATCTCAACATTTATTTCTATTGCTCTGGACAGAAGAGGGGAAAAAAAAGTACATGTTACTTCTATATATTTCAATCTTGTTCTTTTTAAAGTGTCCAATTGAGAACAGATTTTGAATTCCGTTTTATTAATTGCCTCTTTTCTGTTTGCAAAAATTATATGAAAGGCATTTGGATGGAGTTGAAGAGAAGGAATTGAGCCTCTAACCATTGTATTAAACAACTTTATGTCAAACATAAAGTCACAGATGAGGGCTGTTGTATGCATCTCTGTGAACAAATAAAAGCTTGGTCCAGAACCTAATCTTGATCCTTAGGCAAGAGAAAGATTATTTTATTTGCAACTAATTAGAGCTTTGTTTTCCATTGCACTTGCCTTTTAAATGTTGGTTGCTGAACACCAGATAAAATGTTTTTCATGTCTATATGTTCATTTAAAAATCAATTCAAAACAAAACAAAGCCCCATAATATTTAAGGAAGAAAACCTATTTATTTCACATGTTTGAGAAGAGTAATCACAAGCAAAGCAAAAGGGTTGTTTAAGAATCAGAGTCTGCCAGCAAAAATAAGACCCTAATTCTTCATCACAGTGAAAAGAGTTTTGAAATGGGTCAGTTGATACCTTAAATAGCAATTTTCTGCCAATCTCCCAAAGTTTTTGTTTTAGTCTCAGTAGCAGCAGAACTCTGTCACTGGGAGGGTTCTGTTAGGCACAAGAAAGCTAATGTTCATTAATAAACAGGCATTTCCCTCCAAGGGTTAATTCTGCTCGTGCTTTCTGATGCAAGTGAGAATTGGTGATCAGTGACTAAAGGGATGACTGGTAGGAACTTTCCGGTTGGGCTTCCCAAAGGAAGCTTTCCCTTATACAGATATTCAAACCTTCACCTCTTTCTCTGGATAGCAGTGGAACCTCCGTGGGGTTGTGCAGGTTGGGGTAGGGAGGACCCAGCTGACAGAACCACTGCAGATCCATAACAGAGGACAAAATAAAATTATTGAAATAAAATTTTAATACATAAATATATAAATAAAACAATAAAAAAACAAAACAAATAAACATAATGAAAACCCCACTAAACATATATATTACAAAAAATAAAAAGGAAAACAAATAAACAAACTAAACCCCACAACTCCTCTTTTCCATGCTGCAGGTGTTTTCAGGTCTCATCTTTTTTGTGTCACGTCTATTTCAGCAGTCCTCCTGTCTCCACACCTATTCTCAGTACAGTCCCCTTCCTTGGTCTCATTCCACTGCATTTTCTTCAAATTTGCTCCCCCCTTCCCTTGCAATTTCCCCTTAGCCTTTCCAAATTTTCACCTTTTTGCTCTATTTTTTCCTTTGGGCCTTGGCTGATCCAGAGTCACCCTCCACACACAGACACACCGCCACATTTCCCAATGATTTTCCAAAGTTTCGAGTATCTCTTAAAAAGAAGAAAGTCTCCTTTATTTTCAGACTTTACTCCGATTTTGATTTTTTTCCTTGCAAAGCACGGACATGGACGGTGGCGAGGCTGAACTTGCTCTCTCTCTCACGCGTCACTGCCGCGGGCCTAACTGTTCCTAACACTATTTTTCCTGCTTATTTGGATGTTGCCGCGTTTCTTTCCAGTCCCCGAGACAGCGGAGACGGTAGTGTGGGATCCCCGGGAACGCGCCAGGATGCGGGATCCGCGCTTGCCTGGTGAGGCGCTCCCGCGTGGCGCCGCCAGGGGGCGGCAGCGCCGCAGGGCATCCGCCGTTCCCCCCGTCCCGCCCGATCGCCCCGCGCCGCGCACGCCGCTCCCGAGGGACCGCTGCTGGCACCGCCCCGGGCCCAGCACCGCAGCGCGCACCTACCGGCGGCTAGGGGTGACTCTCACTGAGCGGAAAGGGTCTGCCACTCGCTCCCTCTCTGTCCGTCTTACCTTCTATCCTTCCGGTCCGGGGAGAGTGCACTGCTCTACCTCCGCAGGTTGGTTTCTTCGACCTTTCTTTTAGTAACAATGCAAATGATTATTATTAATAATCATATTCATAATGGTAATAACACCAGATATACTGTAATATACCATTTGGAGGTTGGTTGTTTGGAGGGAGGTATCTCTCCCCCCCGCACCAGACGGGTAAGGTGCAGGCAGCACCTCAGGACAGCTTGAAAACCAGGCAGAAACAATTACATCGTGATGAAAGCACGATACTAACGCAGCCGGAGGGGGTGGGGCGGAGAAATATGGTTTTGGTAGTGATTTTCCCTAATGTTGCAGTTTTTACTTGGTGAAGTTCGCTGGTGGTGGCAGGGTGGACATGGGGTCCCAGTGACAGCTAGGAAGCAGGTGGGGTCTCCATCATCCTGCACGAAAGTCTGCTCTGGTTGGTGCTGCATCCTGGCAAACCATAGCAAAGAGAGTTTTCCCTGCTCTGGGAGGTGTGTCCCTGCGTTCTGCTCTCCTTCCCGTCCCTGCTTTGGACAATCTGTCCAAAAGGTTGTTTTTCTGGAAGTAGGAGCAAAGAAGCAATGTGCAGCTTGTGTCTGGAGGGAAGCTGTCCTCTCAAGACGAGAATGTTTCCTCATCCACCAGGGACTGTGACTGGAAACTCTTTCTCAAAGCCACTTTGCGTCTGGTGACCAAAGTCCTTCCTTCTCACTAGCATCTACCCTTAACACACAGACACAGAGGCTTGTGTGATGCAGGTTAAGGGGGTGTCTGCCGACACATAGGGACACCTAATCCATGTGGTGGGGTGTGACACCTACATGAGGGTTTCAAATTTGCTTCTACACACAGTTGAATCCCAACTCCAGGTCACAGGTCCACGATCACTGTGAGTTGAACTACTTCTTAAGATAATTTTCAATCCCTTGGTCTTAGGTAGTTGGTAGTTGGTCATTTAGGCATAAAAAAAAAAAAAAAAAAAAAAAAAAATTCATCCTGTTAATTCATCCTGTTGTTTCTACAGTTGTTTGGGAAAAACATCCCCTTTTATCATGTCTGGAAAACATACATGCACACCAAGAAAGAAAAGAAAGAAGAAAAGAAAGAAGAAAAGAAAAGAAAAGAAAAGAAAAGAAAAGAAAAGGAAAAGAAAAGAAAAGAAAAGAAAAGAAAAGAAAAGAAAAGAAAAGAAAAGAAAAGAAAAGAAAAGAAAAGAAAAGAAAAGAAAAGAGAAAAGAAGAAAAGAAAAGGAGTAACTGAGGCAATTCATATCACTTTTCGTTTTCCTCTAATGGGAGTAATGATCCCAGCTGAAATAAGTCAGTGGAGCTCAGGGAAAAATTGCCTTATTCTTCACATAGCTGTTTAGGATGAGCCTATTTGTACCTTCCCAGCAGGGAGACTCCCACCCCATTTTTGAGGTCGGGCAGGCTCACTTCTCCTTCCCCACCCACACAGAAACCAGGAAGCTATCACTGTGTCCCTCCCGACAGGGCCGTCCCGTGTCCCAATGGACAAGCCGGACTTCCCGCCCGTAGAATCACAGAATCTCAGAATCACGGAATTACAGGATCATTGGATGGGCACTGCAGTGGGAGCTGGACCTTATCCTATTTTAAATACTTCAAGTAAAACATGCTAAGCCAAAGCATGTTCAGAACTTCTCATTTTATTACTTAAGCACATTTTTATAAAAACATTCTGCTCAGAGTTTGAAAAAAAAAAAAAAAAAGGATGCTATTTCCAAATAACATAGAAAACTTTCTATCCTCATTTTGAGACCTCGTTCCGTTCTCCACCAGAAAAAGTGTCCCCTCCCCATAACAGAAGTCTTGGCTGAGTAGCAGTTGCAGGACTGGAGTCTGGAGTCTACTTTAAGCTGTTCAAATTACTAAAGCAAAAATATTACATTTAATACTTAAGAGGCATTTGAAGCGACTATGTCTGGGGCAGAGGAGCACGAGTGTCCTGTTTAAAATCAAAGTCTCTTCAGGAAGTGCTACAGACTGAGCATCCTGATTCCAGCTCTTGTTGCCCGCCCGGACAGTTTTCAGAATGTCCTATTCTTATGGTTAGAAATCCAGGTGTGTTATTCTCAATGAGAATTTTGAGGAGAGAAAACCTTTAGAGGAAAGATGGAAATAGAACTAAGCATTTCCCTTGACCAGAATCATTAAGAAGGATTTTAAGTGCTTCATCTCCTATTGTATGGTTTCAGGCTCTTAACAAGATTTTTTAATCTGATAATTATGTTCCGTACAGCTGCATGGCTGGAACACTAATAAATTTGGAAATAAACTAGTTTAACTTCATCAGATTTCCTCCCCCTTTAAAATCCCTTGAAAAAGCTGAATATCTTGCCTTTACCTGCCATATATTTATACATAAGTTAACAAGAGATAAATTTGAGAGCTACGTTTTAAAACAAGCAGCCACACACCCTTGTAACTTAAACAACTGGGCCAAATTCCTACTCTTTAAAAATCCGGTGCACCCATTTCAATGGCTTAGAACCAATTTGATGATTTCCTATCTAAAAATCTGCTTTTTATCCCTCCTGAATTCTTACGAGTTCAACAGCTCATGCGTGGGGCTGACCTGCCCAGAAAGAACTTAGGTGATTTCTGAAGTCAAAAGCAATTTTCATTAATCCCTACCCCACAAAAAAAAAAAAAAAAAAAAAAAAAAAAAAAAAAAAAAAAAAAAAAAAAAAAAAACCTGGGCTTGAGTGTTTCCAAACACATGCAGAGAGACAAAAAGAAAAATGGTCCATACGAGAAAGTGAGTACATGTAATTAACAGCAGTAACCATAAACTGGGTAAGGGAAAAAAAACCCCAAAACTTCCAACCACACAAATTTCCTTCTTTTTCATCAGCTTCGGTTAGTGGAACATTAAAACAAGGATAATGCCAACTCTTCTTATTTTGAAATGAAGTCAGCTCTAATATGTTTTAGGTTTTGTTTTAAAAAAAGAAAATGTTTCCGCATTCGTTGGAATGAAGAGCATCATTCAAGGATTTTATTGAGGTACTTTAGGTAATAGGAATTCTAACATGGTTTGGCTTAGCTATTTTTGTTATAATAATAACTTGATATAAAACCATAATCGGTAGAAACTAAAGACAATTTGCAAACATTTTAAACATACTTAAAATACTTCTTTTCTGTTTATGCTATACTTATTTTCATATTAGTAGAATTTGAGTTTTAATATATTGTAATTCTTATTAGTTTAATTCGGTATCATTAACACAACTTCTCATTACGTTATTTGAGTTTTGAGGTATAGTATATATAAGGTATAAACAAAAACATGTTGACAAATATCACTGTTGGCCTATTTTTACTCTGTTTAACAAAACTTGCAAAACTCCACAGAAGCTGCAGTCTGGCTGATGCATTCTGCTCCAAATAGCTGTATGGCAAATAATATGTCTCGTCATTGGCATTACAGAGGGAAGAAGGCTTGGAATGATACCATCCTGGCATGCAAATGGCTCACAAATCGTGATGGATGTCTCAGTCAGAACCGTAGGGAGGTACCTGCCCGGTTGTGACTGAGATGCCAACAATTTTCGGTAAAGCTTAGGGAGAATATGGCCAGATAAAGGTCCGGCCAAGGAATTGCAAGGGCTATCGGTATATCTGCAGCAGTGAAAGTTTCGAGGGGGTCCGGATCCAGATACTCCGACCCAGGACCCTCGGACACCGATGTGGCAGAGAGGGGCAGCTGCCGCTCATTGGCTCCCTGTGCCCCGAAGTGCCGGGCACCGCCGGCTCTTCAGTGGGGACGCCCAGCAATGTTCTTCAGGGGGCCACTGCCCTCCTGGGGGGCTGGCCGCCAGCAGAGCCCACCTTCCCCAGAAGACTCTTCCCCATGGCCTCTGTCTCCTCTAGCCCTGCCGCCCGCCTCCGCTTGCAGAGGCCTCTTAAATTTACCATCGGCCTCAGTAGGAATAATACTGTTAATAACGACAGCTAGGGGCGGCGCGGGGGGCCATACCCACCCCAGCCGCCTACTACTCGAGCCCGACAGCCTCGGCGTGGGACGCGAGCAGCACCCGACACCCCTCTCCCTCTCTTGTCCCAGTCTCGAGTATCCCTGAGGCCCACAGGCTAAGCTCTGACTCCACACCATGCCTGGAGGGAATTCTCAAGGAACGCCCCCCAGAAAGACTTTTCCCCGCTGCTGATGGCTGTCTGTTTTGGGGGGGAACGGGGGAGGTAAGTGAGTGGGAAATACCGGGGCAAAGGGGAGGAGTGAGGCACACCGCAGTCCGGTGTGGGCCAGCGTTCGTGGCCGCCTTCCCCTCTCCAAAAGCAACCTGGCCTCCTTCCCCATGTGGCTTTTTTCTTTCTTCCTGCCCATCCGAGAGGGACTGGTCTGGAGAAGCCTCTCCTGACGTCCCTGCGAATGATGGTGCTCGGCGGGCGGCTGCGGAACGGAGACCGCGCGGTCAGTACCGGAAAGGGGAGCCCCCGGTGAGGGATGAAGGGGGAGCTCGGAGCGGTCCGGCGGTGCCGTGTCACTACGAGGCGGGAAAAGTGTGTCCGGGGTTGAGGGCAAGGCGGGGAAACCCTACTGTTCCCCGTCCCCTCTCACATCTTCATGTCTCTGTCTGCCGAAATAACGCGTGGCGGGGAAAGTTGGGGTCCGGGCCGAAGGGAAAGAGAGGGGCGATCCAGGAAGGCATCCCGTCCGGACGGAGGAATTCCCTGCGCCGCAGCCCTTTTTTCCTTTTTTAACATCTTCCTGCCCCCTAATTTCTTGCCGTCAGTGACAAATCTTATTCACGTGAGGGGAAGCTATTGGATTTCAAACCTGATCAGCTGATGGGCCCATAGGCCTCGTTAAACACACGCAGGGGAGTCCGTGACATATCTACACCCTGAGTATCGCACCTCACAGGCATGGGGAGTTAGAGAACGGAGACAGGCCGTCGAGTGTCCCTCGGGATTAAATCAAAATCAGTGGTGTTGGAACGAGGTGGTGGGCTCATTCCAGTGATTTTTTGGGGTGTGCCGGTCTGTACCGGAAAAGTATGGGGCACAGCCTGCGCCAGGGGACAAGGTACAGGTTTGTGTACAGGTCTGTCTTCTCCCGCTCAGCGTCCTCGTGGGGATTAAAAAGGGGATCTGATGTCCTATAAGGGTCAGAGGGAGGTGTGGTGACAGCCCTGCATCTCGCTTTAGAACTGTTCTCCCGTCAGACCTCCATAGGTCCCACAACGTGGCAACAGAA